AGGGTTCACTAGGAAGCAAACTCTGAGATGGAGACTGGCATGCAGGAAGTTTGTTAGGGAGTGCTGTAGGGATGAACATATATGGGGGAAGGGAAAGATACAGGATTGGGCAGAGGGCGGATTTAGCTCATCTCAGTGAGTTCTCTGAACCTGGGATAGTCCTTTACACTTACCTTGAGTTGGGGTAAAGGAGAACCAGCCTCCATTGAAGGTCGTCCTCAGGACGGCAGTGTAACTAAGGGTAAGGCAGCTCGATTCAGTCAAGGACAGTTTTCCTAAAAGGCTAAGAGCTGAAGATCATTAGCAGGCGGTACTTCAGGCAGCTGGGGGAATAAATTCTTCAGCTGTGAGGAGAGATCTGGGCAGTACATTTCAACTGTCTACATCCGTCTTACTGTCCTCACTTCTGTCCTTAATAGCTGAGGTTCCTTGGCATCTCATTATCATCAGCTCTTTTTTTTGCAACCTCAGTTCCCTTATTTCTCTTTTTACCCATCCTGTTTGTTTAAAAACTCATCTCTGGGTGCACCTAACTTTCCAAGTACCCTGCCCCTACCCCAGATATTTGGATGAGACAGGAAAAAAACAAATGGCCATGCTGACTGCTCTCACTTAATATTTATGGCCACAAATCACACATGCCTCTGCAGCCACCTAGTATACTCTCTAGTAAATTCTCTTTCCTTCTCTCCAAAATGATTATTTTATAACTTGTCCCCTTTCCTTAAACATCCAATACCTCCTTCCTCTCCTAGTTCTCTTTCTTCTTGTTTCACTGAGGAAATAAAAAAACAAGTAAAGGAGAACGACTTCATCTTTCCACCACCCAATATGCCAACTTATCTCCACCTCTTCCCTTATCTCTTGTTTTCATTCTTGTTGTAAAGATGACTGGCTCCATCTGTGGACTGGAACACAACTCCTCTTGCCTCCCCAGGACTTGGCTTCTGCAAAGATCTGTTCTCTCTTCTATATCGTCAAGTTTCTTCACTAGTGTTGAATCATTCCCAGTGGCGTATAAACTCACTGTGATCTTTTCCATCACGAGAGAGTCTTTAAACAAGACTGCCTTTCAACATTCAGTCTCCCTAGAGCTACTGCTTCAGTTTTTCTTCTCTTGATGACAGAATATCTCGAAAAGTTTGCCTTGTTTCTCTGTCTCCTTCATCTTTCATTCTTTCTTTAACTGACTCCAGTCAGGCTTTGCCAGCCACTTTCCCCAAACTACTCTTACCATGCCAAGGGCAGCGGTGAACTTCTTGCCAAATCCAATGGTTAATTCTCTTTCTATCTTATTCACCTTTCTCAGCATCACGTGACAAAACTGACCATTACTCCTTTCTTGAAACATTTTTCTTCTTGACTTTCATGATACCCATTCTTCTGTAAAGCAAAATTTCTTTTTATGGCCGAGTAATATTCCATTGTATATATGTGCCACATCTTCTTTATCCATTCATCTGTTGATGGACACTTAGGTTGCTTCCATGTCCTGGCTATTGTAAATAGAGCTGCAATGAACATTGTGGTACATGTCTCTTTTTGAATTATGGTTTTCTCAGGGTACATGCCCAGTACTGGGATTGCTGGGTCGTATGGGAGTTCTATTTGTAGTTTTTTAAGGAACCTCCATACTGTTCTCCATAGTGGCTGAACCAATTCACATTCCCACCAGCAGTGCAAGAGTGTTCCCTTCTCTCCACACCCTCTCCAGCATTTATTGTTTCTAGATTTTTTTCGATGATGGCCATTGGAAACTGTGTCCCCTGCATCGGCAGGCGGACTCTCAACCACTGCGCCACCAGGGAAGCCCTATTTTTAGTTTTTTAAGGAATCTCCATACTGTTCTCCATAGTGGCTGTATCAATTTACATTCCCACCAACAGTGCAAGAGAGTTCCCTTTTCTCCACACCCTCTCCAGCATTTATTGTTTGTAGATTTTTTGGTGATGGCCATTCTGACCAGTGTGAGGTGATACGTCATTGTAGTTTTGATTTGCATTTCTCTAATAATTCGTGATGTTGAGCATCCTTTCATGTATTTGTTGGTAATCTGATATATTCTTTGGAGAAATGTCTATTTAGGTCTTCTGCCCATTTTTGGATTGGGTTGTTTGTTTTTTTGATATTGAGCTGCATGAGCTGCTTTGTATATTTTGGAGATTAATCCTTTGTCAGTTGGTTCGTTTGCAAATATTTTCTCCCATTCTGAGGGTTGTCTTTTCATCTTGTTTATGGTTTCCTTTGCTGTGCAAAAGTTTTTAAGTTTCATTAGGTCCCATTTGTTTATTTTTGTTTTCATTTCCATTTCTCTAGGAGGTGGGTCCAAAAGGATCTTGCTGTGATTTATGTCATAGAGTGTTCTGCCTATGTTTTCCTCTAAGAGTTTGATAGTGTCTGGCCTTTCATTTAGGTCTTGAATCCATTTTGATTTTATTGTTGTGTATGGTGTTAGGGAGTGTTCTAATGTCGTTCTTTTACAGGTAGCTGTCCAGTTTTCTCAGCACCACTTATTGAAGAGGCTGTCTTTTCTCCATTGTATATTCTTGCCTCCTTTATCAAAGATAAGGTGACCATATGTATGTGGGTTTATCTCTGGGCTTTCTATCCTGTTCCATTGATCTATATTTCTGTTTTTGTGCCAATACCATACTGTCTTGATGACTGTAGCTTTGTAGTATAGTCTGAAGTCTGGGCGCCTGATTCCTTCAGCTCCGTTTTTCTTTCTCAAGATTGCTTTGGCTATTCGGGGTCTTTTGTGTTTCCATAGAAATTGTAAAAATTTTTGTTGTAGTTCTGTGAAAAATGCCATTGGTAGTTTGATAGGGATTGCATTGAATCTGTAGGTTGCTGTAAAGCCATTTTTGAAAACATAAATTCCAGAAAATACTAAACTCTTTACTTAAGGTTGTAGGTTATCTTAATTCTTACCATGAACTTTTTATGAGAAAGCAGGTGGTGCCCTGATCTCCATTCCAAAGAGAAAAGATCTTTTTTGTTAAATCAGCCCATTATTCTTTGACATGGGATGCATCTCCAGGTTAAGGGGTGAAAGACATTAGTTTGCATTAGACAGTAGCTGCAGTCTGTATTCACAGTACAACGTGGGAGAAAGTGGCTACACCATCATTTTGTAATAGATGGATTAAAGCATGTCTTAGTAAGAGAAACAAGCAGAGAGGGGCTTGATTCCCTTTATCTCTCTGATAAAAGCAACACCATGTACAGTGGACACCTAATAAATATTCATTGGTATCAATGCCTGGACACAGAACTCCTTGATTTTGGACATTTAAAACAAGCATCTTTCTTGCTTAGAGATTAAGAATAACATATTCAGTCTTCATACTTAGGTTCTTCACTGTTGTGTCCCACCATGCATCTTTCTAGAAATATTTTCAGTTTAAGATGGGATCTTCTGCATCAGCTGAATTTGCACTTAAGCTTTTGTGTTTAACGCATCTTGCTTTTTCTCTTGGCTTCAATGGGCATTCGCTTTTTCTAATTTCATTATAAGATGATTACATTCCGGTTCAACCATTTGACTAACCGTGATATTGCTTCTTTTCTTTCTCCTTCAGATATTGATGAGTGTGCGGCTAAGATGCATTACTGTCATGCCAACACTGTGTGTGTCAACTTGCCTGGGTTATATCGCTGTGACTGTGTCCCAGGATACATTCGTGTGGATGACTTCTCTTGTACCGGTGAGCATTAAGAAGCAATGTTGCTTTTCTGATTCATTCCTTCTCTGTGCCATTACATTTAGCCCTAAGTACACTAAGTACTATTTTTAACTAACTAGTTCTTCTCTTGCATTATCTTATCATCAACTTTTTAGGAGTCAGGTGATAATAAGAGGAATTTTGTCTGCCTAATTTATTTCCACTCCCAGTATTTCTGTCTCTGTGTGTGTGCGTGTGTGCATGGGTATATGATTTGAAATTGAAGACCCAGTTGCCTGTGGTAACACTGAAGGACTTAGAGAGAGACATCAGTTCCAAAATGAGAAAAGTATCAAACTGTTTTCCTTCCATCAAGATGAAATGTGTTTTTATGTGAGAAAATGTACTTTGTTATTGTTGGGAAAGACAAGAGGTTAAATTTAAAGCAGGAGCGAGAGTATCTGGTGGGCACGGACTGGGTATATGGGAGCCAGTGAAGACTTCTCACTGGCATATGCTTATTGTCAGTTTTGTTCCTCTTCTCCCCTTTATCCCTGGGCTGTCAGTACAGAACTGGAGCTCCATGGATTGTGGTCACTGCCTCTGTGTGAGCAGTGCTGGCTCGGTGGTCATTTGGTTTGGGGTTCCATTATCATTCAAATCGCGAACACCGAGACAGGAACAGTAAATTGGTTAAGGGTGGTAGAAGATTCTGAGTCTTTCTTCTCTTGGATGAAATGTCATTAAATGCCCAATCTGTAACCTATCAGGAAGGGGCTCCCTGAATACAAGATTTCGGTCATGCTGTGTATTTCTCTGACTCTTGGCATCTTTCTCTTTGTCCTAATGACTGGTATATAAAAAATGATTTCTTTTTAAATTAATTAATTTATTTTAATTTATTTTAAAATTTTTAAATTTATTTTCACTCACAGTGGAATTCCACTCTTTTCTTAATATGTTTTATTTTATTTTAATTTTTTTTAAATTTATTTATTTCTTTATTTATGGCTGCGTTGGGTCCTCATTGCTGCACGCCGGCTTGCTTTTAGTTGTGGCGAGCGGGGGCTACTCTTCGTTGCGGTGTGTGGGCTTCTCATTGCAGTGGCTCCTCTTGTTATGGAGCATGGGCTCTAGGCGTGGGGGCTTCAGTAGTTGTGGCACGTGGGCTCAGTAGTTGTGGCACACAGGCTTAGTTGCTCCGCGGTATATGGGATCTTCCTGGGCTCGAACCCGTGTCCCCTGCATTGGCAGGTGGATTCTTAACCACTGCGCCACCAGGGAAGCCCCAGTATATTTTATTTTGAATGGCCTTTTCAGAGATGTAAAAAGTTATAAAAGTTTGAGAAGCATGTTTGTATGTCCATATACCTTTGCCATTGATTGTTGTGTATTTTTACATTACTGTTCTTTGGCTAAAGGATTTCAGATTGATGCAAGATTCTGACTCCTGCAGTAGACCAAATATTGTTTACCTGTCTTTTCCGTATTATTACAAAATTCCCAGAGAAAAAAGAGACTTCATAAACATTATGCTGTGATCCAAACATTTTAAGGGGGCAAAACTCTTTTGGACCTGTAAACAAATACAGTCTAAAAATCTGTGATATTACAGATGAGTCTTGTTCTGTTCTCAGTGGTCTGTCCAGGTCCTGACTTATGTTAACCCTAACATGAGGCAAAGGCAGTGGATCATCTCCCAACACAGAGGCACCATATCATGCAACTCAGACCTGATTAAGGCACTGCTGGGTGGAAAGGCCTTGTTGAAATTATATCAGAATACGTAGCACCTCTGCTCTTATTTTCTTCACTGAAGGAGGAAGTCAAGAGCTGGTGCTTGCTGAAAGCCTCTTAAGGACAGGTGCTCTGCCTGGTAGTTTGTACAGTATATATGCGACCAGATGGAAAACGTAGTATTTTAAGAACTAGCTCCAGAGTTACTTTTAGAAAGAGAAATGTGTTGTTTGGAGTAAAAGGCAAGTGTATGAGTATCAGTGGGTACACCATCCAAAAAAAGAGTAAGTAGTTCTGCAGGGGAACTTTTTGTTTTGTTTGCGCATGTATTTTGTCTGAGAGAGAATAGAAAAGTTAAAACAAAAGAGAGAAATAAAAGAGGGAGGAGAGAGGAACCAGCCAGAGAGCAGAAGGCTGGGTGCTGTGGAGGACAGGGGTCAACGGAAAACTGCTCAGTGAAAGGATGGCTGAAAGGACTTTTAAGGGTAGGAATATTTAGTATGAGAGGTTTTGTTGTGGTGGTTTTGCTGTATAGTATGCAGGGCGAGTCTTCCTCATGACCCTCCAACTTTCAGCAAAATCTGCCACCTTGAAGACTGGGTGAGACCCTCCCCATTCTGACCCCAATGAATGCAGGTTAACATGAGGGCCAGTGAGGGAAATGGTACATGTGTGTATAGGATATCGTGACCTCAGAGGCAGAGGTAACCATTCCGATCCTTTCCCTGCCACCCAGAGTACATTTATACAGACATGAATGCAACAATCACAGTCACCACGGCCTCCTGTCAGGAGTGTCAGAAATCTCAGTGAGGGCTTTTGGACTTCCCCCATAGGTCATAGAATTGGGGATAAGGTATTTTTCTTAAAAAAAAAACCTTCCATTGATCCCAGATGTCTTCTTATATACTGCCCATTTTTCTGCTTCTGTTCATAGCAAACGTCTTAATTGCATCGTCAGGGGTTACTGCCTTCCTTACATGTACTTACCTCACACACCCTCTGCATCCACTCCCACTAAGTCTTCCAGATGCACCATTCGACAGAGGGTACATTTATCAAGGTCAACCATGAGCTCCATTTTGTTCAGTCTAATCTTCTAATCTCTTGTGACCTCTCAGCAGCATTTAGCAAAGCTGACTACATCTTCCTTTTTTAAGCACATTATTTTATTCACTTCTGAGACAGTGTATTCCCTGATTTTCCTTCTATGTCACCGGTCACACGTGCCCAGTGTCCCTAGCTATTCTTCCTCTGCTGATATCTTGAAGGTTACAGTACTGGAGAGCCCTGCCCTGGACCTTTTTCTCTTGTTCATCCATATCGTCTTTTCAGACGCCTCCATTCAGTATTATGACATTACAGCATCTCTATGTTAATAACTCCTAAATTTCTATCCAGTTCCAGTCTTTCTCCTGAGCTTCTGAATCATATATTCAACTTGACATCTACACATAGGTATTGAATAGGCATTTCATATTAACATGTATGAGACATAACTCTGGATTTCCTTCCACCTCTGCAAACCTCCTCTTCCAACTTTCTGCATCTCAGCAAATGAAAGCACCATCTATCTAGTTTTTCAGGGCAGGAAGCTACGGGTGATACTTGATTGCTTTCCTTCTCTTGTCCCTCCACTTTCAGTCTGTACATCAGACTTGTTGAATCTACCCTCCACACCCTGTCCTAAGTCCGTCCACTTCATCCATTTCCGTCCATATCCTCTACTACCAAACTACCAGACTTCCTCAGCGGTTACCGTTCTGGACCTGCTGTCCCAGGCTTGCTCTACTGTAACTCTCTATTCACAGAGTGATGAGGGCAAACTTTTAAAACCAGGACTTTCTAAAGATCTCGTGTAGTTTTCCGTTTCTCAGAAGATCAAATTAATTCTCCTTATTTTGATTTAAAACCCTATGTGGCTTTTTTCCTTTCTGCCTCTCTGACTTTATCTTGTACCATTTCCATCCTTGTCCTTTAGGAGGTGGCCGCCCAAACTTTTGACTTTGTTTTTTTTTTATTCAACAGGCTTGTTCTGCCTTAGGACAGTTCTACCTTGGCTACTTAGAATATAGCCCGGCACAGGGCAGTGCTCAATAAGTATTGAATGAGGGAATGAATAAAGCTCCTTGACCCTGGGCTAATTGTTTACTTCTCTAAATCTCACTTATAAAACATTGCTCATATCTGTTGTACCTATAGGTTACTGTGAACATCAAATAATATGTGTGAAAACATTTATCATGGCCCTTGTATCAGTCAGGTTAGGATGTTCTGCAGTAACAACCTCAAATATGGGTGACTTAAAATAATCAGGTTTTGTTTGTTGCTCATGTATTTCACTGGTCAACAGGAGTGGTGCTCTGCTTATCATAATGCCTTTGGGATATAAGCTGATGGAATAGTCACCATTGTGAACATTGCTAGTCACCAAGACAGGGAAAAGAGAGCCTAGAGCATCTTGTGTCAGCCAAAATATAGTCTAACCAAATCCCTTTGACGTACAACTCCTTGACTAACTGTAACTAGTTACCAGTCCTCAACCAACTACCAGGAGGAGAGGAAAGGCCTTCCTACCATGTACCTAGGTTTGATAATTAGACGTATTTGGTGATTGGTGCTAATAAATACCACAGCAAATGATACAGTAGATTCTTAACAAATTTTGTGTCCATTGACATGAAGAGCTGTTGATTAAAGTAACCTTATTTTTTAGTCGCCGTTCACAATGTGATGGGGAATGTAGTCTCAAAAAATAATGATATTAAACACATTGTACTAAGTGCTATGATGGAAGTTCAAGCGAAACGCAATAAGAAAAGGGTGTTTGATTGTCAGGATGGAGCATTTGGAATGTTTTTGCAAGCCAAGAGGAGCTATTGGAGTTTACCAAGGCATGTTAGCGTGCATGTAAAGTAGAAATTTGGGAATAGAGATGAGACGTGAATGGGAATATGGAATATTGATGGGAATGAGGAGAGGTAAGAGACAAGCATCCTCCCTGATGGTCATTTCTCCTCTAGACCAGATTCAAGGTCCTCCATTAGACATTTCCATAGTAAGCTGGAACTCTGACATTCTACCTTGGTGTCCTGAAAAATATAAGCCTGTCAGGCCACATGTACTCTTTACAAGATAAGCAGGTCCACACCTTTAATTTCTGTCATTTCTTTATTGGCAAAGAAGACTTCTTCCCCCAAGTGGTTAGTAGTCTGTGTAATAAATGAGGTATATAACAGATATCTGCCACTGTAAGATGTCTTTTCAGATGCTTCGTTTCCAGAAGAAATTTGCTAGGAGAAATT